AAGGAGTGTAGAAAGAATTATCTCTAGAGCTATCCACAAAGCCCAGGGCTTGGCAGTAACTCAACCCCTGAATAAAACAGCAGGTTCTTTTAGGAAAATGAGACCATGTTTTCTAAAAAGCCCGCAAAATGTGTATATTTCTGATAGCTGCCCTGTGTCAAGTTTTAAGTTCTGATGAGTTGACTGGCAGAGTGAACTAGCCATACAATACTAAAAAGCATTTGGCATGATCTGCAAATAAGTCTTCTATTGTGCTTGTAATTACTTCATAAGTACCACTTTGTTTTCTGCTTGAATAATTTGCAAAAAAAAGAGATAGCAAAACATTACAGCAGTAAATGTTCTATGCATTACAGAGATAAAATAGTTATAATACAGAGGATGTTCAGATGACAAAGAATTGGGACTTTTCTTGGAGTCATGCTTACAGAATACAGAATAAGGAACTTTATCTTTCCCAGGACATAGTGAAATATAGTTCACTATGTTCTGGGAAAGACATAGTAAACTTAGGACAGTTCTACTAAAAGCACAGCCAGTGACCGTGGAACTAAGAGCCAGCAAACAGACTGTAATTCCTCTCTGGACAAGAGGAGGACTTGAGATTGCCCACAAGAGCTCCATTCAATTCCTCCTCATGAAGAGACTGCAAGACAGGGGTCTCTGGTGGATTTAGAGCTCTGGGAAATGAGGGAATAGCTATCTTACTCAAACTGCAGTTGGTATCTTTGAAAAGACACTAAATTCACATATTTCCTTTTCTAATCATTTTTGGAAATTGTTAACTGCTTTGCAGCTGTTAGGAACCTTTGGTTCAACAGGTTTTACAGCACCAAATGAGTTTCCTTCAAATCTTAGTGAAAGAAGCTTTAAATACAAGTTTAAAGGCTTGTATAGATGTTTAGTGAACAATTTTAAAAGAATCAGTGGTCACACCTCCTCGATCAGAGCTCTATAAAGCTAGAATAGCCAAAGAAGAAACATATTTAAGAAGTTTATTTCTTTTAAAACTTAAAAGTACAGAACATTCTTGCTCCTTCTTTTGACTACCAAAAAGTTTTAGCCCACCAGAAAGTTTCATGCACCAATCAATTGTGTCCACTTAACTTTGGCTGTCTTGTATTTTTTTTCCTTCTATCTAATGAGTATGGATTAGGGTTATTGATGATTGACAGTTCCTCTGTGAATTTATGAACCCACGTACTCACAACAGGGACACCTCACCAATCAATTATCTCTGCAGTGGGCAAATACTTTTTAGACATATTTTAACACTAGCGGCAGGAAAAAGGGAACAGGTGCCACTCAGGGAATATAAATAATGGCAACTTCAGTCTCCCCCAACAACCACTGTTTGGAACCAGACAAGGTTTTATATTAAATGGGGACAAAAAAAATACTTAAAAAAGTTAAGAGAACAAAGAGCCAAATACAGAGGAGTTCGCCAAACAAAAGACTATTTAATTTCATGGTTTGATAAAGCAATCTCTGATAGTTTTAGAGAGAATGAATTAAACAGAATAGCAAGTCACATTTGCAAAACCCTGATAATGCAAATAGCTTTGATTGTCTGGTCTATTGAAAAATAACCATGCAATCACAGAACCAGTTTCCAAATTCTGCTTTGGTAAAGGACTATATAGAGAAGTGGTATTCCAGTAATAACAAAACTAAATACATTGGCTTCACATAAGTGTACATGAGGCATTTAAACATTTTTCACACTTATTAAATCTTAACAAACAGCACAGCTGGATTTCATCTTTAAAAACAGCTTGTCAATATACATGAATTCTGCCAAGTATTCTCTGTGATGCCTTTCAGTAAAGAAAACAAACAGAGCACCCTTAAAGGCAACAATTAAAAAGTATGATTAATAGAAAATATTCCCCTTCTCTTATGCTGGAATACCATTCTAATGTCTTACAATTTTAGAGCACAGCAGTTTTCCCCAGTGATTTAATTACTATCACAGGAAAATGTAGTCATTACAAAATGAAGAATTCCAGGATTCAGCATAACGACTCTAGTTTTAGACAAAAATCATTGGTGGTGACTTCAACAATACCTACAAACTACAGGATAAACCATCTACACTCTGAGCTTGGTTGTTTTCTCGCAGACATTTCATTACCCAAATTAGTACCGATGAAGCTACCTAGTTTGGGTAATGAAACATTTGGGGGGAAAAAAACAACCAAGCTCAGAGAGCACCAAGGATCCTTCATTTCAAACCTGAGTTACAAATATTCTCCTTTATTGGTAAACCATATATAATCACAATGGGATCAGCTGTAGATATGGATGAAACTACTGTGTGGGACAGATATAAAAAAGCAACAAAGGGAAACAGGTAGCTAATTCTGCAGGAAACTCCTCCAATTCTAGAAGTCAAATTTGCTCTTACCATAAGAAGTGTTATCCATACTATCAGGCCACATAGCACTAGAACAAGAAGCTTTTACAGTGGCTGACCTCCAATTCTCAACAACCCTCCATGGTAATATACAGACATGTGTAACTGAATGCAACCACAGGTCCTCTTACAAAGAGACACGTATATGTTGCATCGACAGATCAATAAAGTCCAGGTTGCAAAACAGGAAGATGAGAGGATCCATACAGATTCAATTTTGGAGCAGCAATACATTCTCAAGATTCTTGCATGGCTAAATGGCTATTGAAGCATAAAATTAGATTTAGAATTTGGGAGCCCAAAGAATGACAGCTTTCTGTCTGCAGCAGTGTTCTGTCCCCAGAGCCAGGACAAGCAGTGATGTATTCTCAAAAGGTGTCTGGTCTCTATAAATATTATATATATATATATATATAATTCTAGCCAAGATCTAATAAGCTTCTCCATGAAGCTGCCTTTAATAAAGTTCCCTTCCAAGAGGTAGCCTTCTATATTTACCACGGAACACATAATTAAAAGAAATTTTTAAAAAGTTATCTCAACATATAGTAGCTAGAAGTGAAGCAAAAATATTATTAAAGGGGTTCTCAAGTCTACCTTGCATGCAATCAGTCCAAAAAGCCAATCCCCAAACTTACGTAGCCATTCTTTTATTATAGGTAATAAAGGCACAAACACTTGAAAAGAGACTCATCACCACACACAAAATAAAATCATGGCTAAGTGAGATTACTTATCACTTTATACGTTTTACCCATGCCACATATAAGGTCATTTTAAAAATGTCTACAAAAAAAAAAAAAAAGCCGATTACCTGGACAAATCCACCTTTCCTAGGGAGTGATTTTCATAAAAATCCATTAGTTTTTTTTTCTTCAACAAGGCTGTCTGATATCCACGGAATAAGCCTGCACATCAGGGCCTACCAGAATCTCAGTCTCAAAGCTCAGCAAAATCTTAAATCAACAGCATTCAAAGCAATTAACACAAAGTAATGATGCCCCAATAAGGCAGCTCTCTCATTGCCCAGCCCTTGTCCTCATCTTCAAAGAAGAAGGAGAAAAAAATATATATATGTACAGCCCTTCATTAAGTTTCTGCACTAGATAAAACAGTCAGAGGGACAGCCCTGGGCAAGGTGAAGCCTTGCACTGGAGACACCTCTGTGGACATTATCCCCCCCCCTCTTTTTTGGAAGGTGGGGACCTTAAGCTCCTCCCAAGACACAAGTGATTATTCATCACACTCAACATTTAAAGAGGCAGTGGTGGAGAAATGGGGAGGGGGGAATGACAAACCTCTCAGCGTGGATGTCAAGTTTCAAAGGCAAGCTCTTCTCAGTCATGACTTCAAGTGGAAAGAGCCATGCAAAATCCAAAAAAAGCAACTAGACTGCTTTGGCCAAGTCAATCCAGAACATTATAAGGCAGAGAATAAAGAATGTCACTGCTGTCTCTTCTGCCTTGGGGGGCACTGTCCCAGGCATTGCCGTTCAAATGCACTGATGAATTTACTTGCAAATTCAATCCGGATCTAGCCAAAATTGAACACCTATTCCCCCATCGGATTCCACTAAAGACCGCTGCCCTTAACACTCTCTCTTCCTTGTTGAATCTCAAGACGGGCCGGAGTGTTTTTATCCTTAGCCGGATCGTTTCCTAATAGTGATCGGGTGGACGAACATCAACAGAACACACACACACACACACACACACACACACACACACACACACACACACACACACACACACACACACACACACGTTCAGCCGGCAACCTCTTACACGCGCGACCCTGCCGGGCAGGACTTGCTCCCTGAGCAAATTGGCGCGGACTCTCGACTTCAAATTTCAATCGCTCGATCGCCTGCTTCGAACTCGTCCGACAGGTGCCCTCCAGTAGGATTCTCAATTCTGCTAAAGTTACACGCCAGCTATGTATTATGGGACTTGTAGTCCGACGCTGAGGGAAGACCCTAGTGAAGGGACGCCCATTCCAGCAAAGTAACACAACCTGATTTCTGGGAAACGAGCCACGAAGAATCGATGCACCACCCGCTACTGGAAATATTTGGGAGAGGCAACGTGCGGGTGTAGGTTGTGTAAAAATGGAGCTGGGACACAAACTCATACAGGTGGTAGGCGCAGGTGTCGCAAGTACACGGAACCTACGCAGTCTTGACCTAACCTCCACACAGACGGCGAGATTATGGTCGCTTTGGGATAATTTTCGGGAATCAGATCTGGTCGCCTGCAATTGCACACACTTAAACCGGGTCGACTGCCTCTTTATAACGCGCTTCAAATAGACTGAATCTTAACCAGATAAGCCAAGATCCGCTGCGAAGGTTTACGAAGGGGCGAGGAGGATCCGGCGCGGCTGCTTGGGTCCCCAGCCCTCAAAAGACTCCGGATCGCTTCGCCCCCTCCACCATTAATAACAGCAATCACAGTCTGGAAAAAAGTGACAAAAATCCCACGGGAGGAGGGGGCGGAGTGTGGGTTAGGGGTAGGCACACCGGTCCAACCTGCCCAGACTCACCCCCTTTTCCTCTCCTTCCAGTCTACCCAGCTTGATCACTTACTTGTCGTATTCTTGTGTCATGTCTGGCAGTCAGTGGGTGGCAGAACTGGCCTGGCTGGTTGGGACGGGAACTTGCCGCGGCCCAGGCGAGTTAGGGAGGGGATGAGGAAGAGCAAAGAAGAGCAGCAGAAAGAAAGATCGTCCACAGATCGCCGCACAAACGGGTTTTGTCGGCTTTTCTCGCTCGCTCAGGTGGCTCCCGGGAGTCGCAGGTGGATTCGCAACTGCGCCTCGCTTCCCATTGGCTGGAGCCGAGAGGCTGGTGCTGGGTGGGATGGGACGAGAGCGGAGCAACGCCCCAGCGGCACGCCCGATTGGAGGATGACAGAGGAGAGGGCGGGGCCGAGCGGTGTCTCCGAGTTCTAAATGGAACTTTGAGGTAGATGTGTGTTCCTTGTTGGGCTCCGCCGGCGGCGGATCGCATCGGATCCCGCGGAGGTTCTGTTAGTGTAGCCTTGTTGTGACGCTGCTACTACGGCGCGGTTCAGGCTCCCCTCGAACCTCCTCGGGGCCGTCGAGAGGAAGAAAGGGCCAAATTATGTAAACGTCCCCCCCCCTCCCCGCGAAGTTGAGAGAGACGCCGCGGTTGCGTTATTTAAATCCTGGTTGTGGTTAAGAGACGCAAGATCGGAATGAGGATTTAAGCGTATCTTAAGTGTGTCACTGACGGTGATTCCGACGGGCGGGGGCGGGGATTTCTGGGTCCGTGTGTTTGTTTCACTTGCCGGAACTAAATCCAAACCTGTTCCACGATTTCACTTTTATGTAGAATGCGGGCGCATTCTACTTCTATTTAAATTTCTATTTTTTTACCTTTCTGATAGAATAAACGTTGAAAGGCGGCTCAAATATCTCGAAGAAGTGTGGCTAAAATCTATATTCCGGGTAATTTTTTTTACTCGGAAAAAAGCCAATAATGCGACGCAAAATAAACATCAACCTGAAAGATGCATGTCCTACAATGGAGCTTTATGCAAATAGTTGACTAATAAAAAAAACACACAAAACACCCGATAGTAGATGCGTGTCTACCAAAGTGTTCCAGAACGAAGATGCTAATTAACCTATTCACTTTGGGTTTGCCTTCCAATTTCTGAGGACTGAGATTAGGCCTTATGTGATGACCTCTGAAGGCACACCAAACTGGCAGGAGTAGCCAACACCCCAGAAGACCAAATAAGGATCTAAAAAGATCTTGACAAACTTGAACAATGGGCTCTATCCAACAAAATGTATAAGTACAGATTGGGCAAGACCTGGCTTAAAAACAGTAACAGAGAGAGGGGCCTTGGAGTCCTAGTGGATGATCACTTAACCATGAGCCAGCAACATGCAGCAGCAACCAAAAAAGCTAATACAATCCTGGGTTGTATAAACAGAGGCATAGAATGAAGACCACACCTGGAACACTGCAGCCAATTTTGGTCACCATATCACAAAAAAGATGTTGAGAGTTTGGAAAAAATTCAGAGAAGAGCAACTAAGATGATCAAAGGCCTGGAGACTAAAACATATGAAGAACGGCTGCAGGACTTTGGTTTGGCTAGTCTAAAGAAAAGAAGAAATAGGGGAGACATGATAGCAATATTCCAGTATTTGAGGAGCTGCCACAAGGAAGAGGGGGTCACGTTATTCACCAAAGCACCAGACAGCAATAATAATTTAATTTAATAATAATTTAATTTATATACCGCCCTTCTCCCGCAAGACAAGAAACAATGGTTGGAAACTGACCAAAGAGAGAAGCAACCTGGAATTACGGAGAAACTTCCTAACAGTGAGGACAATTAACCAGTGGAACAGCTTGCCTCCAGAAATCGTGGGTGCTCCATCACTGGAGATTTTTAAAAAGAGGCTAGACAGTCACTTGTCTGAGATGGTATAGGTTCTCCTGCTTGAGCAGGGGGCTGGACTAGACCTCCAAGCTCTCTTCCAGATTCTATTCCTATTCCTATTCCTATTCCTATTCCTATTCCTATTCCTATTCCTATTCTATTCTATTCTATTCTATTCTATTCTATTCTACAGGTTCGTGCAGACACGCTGTAAACAAAATGTTTTGTCATACAGATTTCTATCTTAACCTCCCAGTAGAATGGATTGGATAAAGAGACTTGCCCAAGGCAAATATCTTGATGAAGTGTGGTTTTTGAATTTAGACATTTGTTTTATCTCTATATTTCCTAGTGCTGTACTATGACATTGAAATATGGGTAAGTTCAGTCATTAATGAAAGATGAAAATTATCACCAAAACATTAAAAGTCACCGCCCTTTGAAAAGATAATTGGACAATTTCAGTTTTGTTGCTTGTAGATTGGCATACTGGAGTCTTGTATATCAACTCCATTTTTCCATAATTTAGAGTTACATTACCAAGCCTCCATAACCAAATGTTCAAAACTTGTAACATTGACATTGACGGAGGAAACATTTAATATTCAAATCACATATAAATCACAATTCAAAAGTTTAATAATAAAATCTGCAAACGTTACACTCCAATAGTAGAATGGTAATAATGGAGGAATCAAATAGGAGTTTGAGGGGAAATTGTGCATTGTGCAACATTGCAAAATGGCATGGGGGGAATTTGGTTGTGTAACATGAATTGATAGTGAAAACAAGACAAGATATAAAAAAGTGAATTTGTCATTTGGAGATCCCAGAATGAATGAAAGTCTTTAGTAACTAATTTTAAGAAAAAGATATACTTGTTTTGATTATATGATTTCAACATAACTCCATTAATATATAGACATGGCAAAGGAATGAATAGAATTCTAAGAACATGATTTATTCATTTGTTTACAATGAAAGATTGAATTAGTGAAGGATACAGTGATGGTGAGAGATTCTAAATGTGGCAAAAATAATCTCTTGCTAATATCAAGAGAGGATTTCAGGAAACAAAAATGTACATGGAAGAAAAATGAAAGAAACCAGCATAAAAACAGAGCTGAGGGAAGAGAAAATTTGACTTCTGTGTAAAAAAATATTGCAAGACAGGTGACTCTCCACAATGAATAGAAGGAGAAACAAGGAAAAAGGATTTGGAGGTATGTGAGTCAGAATGAAAAGTATATCACAGACTGCATAGAAGTACGAATTGCTACAGGTAATTCTCAATTTATGACCACAGTTGGGGGCCTGGATTTCTGTTGTAAAACAAAGCAGTTGTAAAGGGAATCATCATGTGACCAGACCTGATTTTACATCCAGTTTTACTGTGGTTGTTAAGCAAATCTAATTTCCCCTATTGACTTTGCTTGGTGAGAAGCCAGCTCAGAATGTCACACAAATCACAATCAAGTGATCCTGGGATGCTGTTGCAACCATCAATAAATGTGAGCTGGTTGCCAAGTGCCCAAATTGTGACCTTATGACTCCAGGGGAGGTGCAACAATTGTAACGTCAAGGATAGGTCGTAAATAACTTTTTCCAAGGCTGTCATAACTTCAAGCTGTCATTAAACAAATGGTCGTAAGCAGTGCTTTTTTTCTAAAAAAAAAAAAAAAAAAAAGGTGCCGGAACTCACACACGTCATACAACCCGCCTTGCCTACCCTACAAGGTTCCATCCAAAAAAGGTGCCGGAACTCCGTTCTGGGCGTTCTATGAGGAAAAAAGCCCTGGTCACAAGTCCAGGACTACCTGCACATTAATAGGAAGTATGGAAAAAAATTGCTTAAAGGAATGATCAAGTGAAGGGAGCTGAGGAGGAGACAAAATGTATAGAGCAGAAATGAGGCCAAAACTAAGATGCTGTCTGATGAGGAGAAAGAGAAAAAGATGGTTACAAAGGATGTAATAAAACAAGAAACTCTGAAAGTCCAGAGAGGCAGAAAAATGAAACATGATTTTGACTGTTTGTCTTAATAAAAATTTTATTAAATACATGAATCTTAAAATAGCCAAATGCTAGTCAAAAGATAATGGATAGCAACTAAAATGCCTGTGCAGAGGAGTCTGTGTCTGTCCACTTTATTATATAGAGGTGAGGATTGGGTGTGTCAAGAAAAAACATAAAAATAAGTGGAATGAAGTGGGATTGTTAAGAAATGGGTGTGGTGAAACAGGGAGAGACAAGGAAAAATGAGGGATATGAATTAATGTGGGTTGAATTCATAGTGGCCAAGACGTGGTGGCGAAACCACTGGTGTGATTTGGTTAGATTGAGAAAAGGAGCATCAGATTTCAAATCAAAGAAATGAAAAAAGAATGAATGGGAGAGGAGGAAGGGACAAAAATCAGGATTGATGGAGTTTGAGTTGGTTGAAAGGATAGAAATCTAAAGAGCAAAAATCAATGTATAAAGAAATGTATGAACATTGTCTGGAAAAGAGATGTGAAGAGGTACAGTGTGTGGTGTTGGTTAAATGAAGTAGTTTGTAATTGTATTTCCTTTTCTTCTTCTTACCTTTTGGGGGCTTGCATTTCTTGCTTCTCTCTGCACTTTCCATACTATTGCTTGGCCCAAACGAATTACAGGATGGGTAAGTATTTGAGGTGTTCACGGTGGAGAAAGAATAGAAAAACCCAACAAGGCAGTCATGGCTGTGTAATTGAAAGTCCTTTATTACATGCATCATCCTGAATTTTTTGAGCCTTCCTATGAATATACATTGTACATATACATGTACAATGTATATTCATGTATGTATGTCTATTCTGAGTCTTGGACAAACTTTTTGTAATCAAACTTAACTGTATTTTTTTTTTTGCAGAATTTTTATAAAATCGTCATTTTATTGGATAAATAAAATGCTTTGTCCCTAAAGAGCTGGGAGTTGGATGGCTGCAAGAGAGTAATTAATCCAAGTCATCCAGTGAGACTCATGATGATGGGAAGACTTGAACCTGATTCTTGCAGTCCAACTCATTAGCCTCCCCATTAGCTCTTTGTGGTCTTTATTGTGGTATTTTTCTCACTCATAACAGAAAAAGAATGCTGTCTATTATATTTGTAGGTGGCCATCCAATTAAAAGTTGAAACAGCACCCTAGAAAAATCCAATGGCAAATCACAAAACGATTCTTAAATGCTACAGTAACTTTAGACTTCTCATACCATAACCGTGCCACCCAAATCTCAATTCATGATCTTCTAATTCCAATTGCCTTTTCTTCTTCTTGTTGTGCCATAT